TAGATTTCTAATTTTAAAAAATAGATAAACAGTAAGCAAAAAAGATTTACTATAAACAAAGGTAACTACAGGGAATATCTTGTAATAACCTGTAATGGAAAATAATTTTTAAAATAACATATGTGTATATGTAACTGAATCACACAAAAAAGAATTCTGCTTTTTGAAATTTAGTAGTGTGTAACTTTTTGGCAGTTTTTCTAAATGTCTTATGGACATCTAATAGTGTATGAGATACACAATTTTAAATATATTTGTGTAGGATATAATTAATATAAATTAATTAAATATAAATCTATTATACTTAAACTATTAATGATGTCATTCAAGACACTCCTATTATTTTTTCTGCACTTTGATAAAATACTCTCAGGAAAATGTTTATATGTCTCATATGATCATATATTGTTTATTTTCCCTTATGTTTCTTGTGATCTTTGCTTTATGTATCTTTGTTTCTTTGTTGTTAAGGTGTCTAATGGTTTATGATGTCTAACTTCTTTGTGAATTGTACCCTTTATCATTAAAAATATTCATCTTTGTTTCATTTAAAATAAATAAATAAATTTAAAAGGAAAAAAAGATAGATAAGGGAGGGCTGCAGTGGGCAAGGAAATGTCCAGTGCCCTCTTTGCTAATAGACTTTACTCCCTTGAACTGGCCGATAATTCTTATGGAAAACCTGTTTTGGAGGACTTTGCCAAAGGAGCAGGAAATCACCAGTACAACAATATCAATATTCTAAATTTTTTCCACCATTTCCTCTAGTCCTGATTGGCATGACTATGACTCTGTCCCATTGTGTAGCAAAAAAACAGTGTGACCAAATGCCACTTCATAACAAAGCGCACCAGCTTTCCAGCCTCGTCGACTACTACTCTCCTCCTCACAGTTAATTCCACAGATTAGGACCTGTGACTTCCAGAAACCACCTTAAAATACTAAACTCTACATGCATCAGTTTTCCTAATTGTAGGCAACAGAAGCTGATCCTGGCTGGTTACACAGAAAATAAGGGTATTACAATGATCTCAAGAGCCCACAGAATCTGTGTGGAAATGAAGAAACTGGCTCAAGATTAAGCTTCCAAGTAAAGCTTATAAAACCAAAACCCTGGCCTGATGGAGAAACTACTGCTCTGCCACTGTGGCTGCCGCCAGGATGCACCAAGGCCTCCATCTGCAGTTCAGTCTGACTCTCCCTTTGACTTCAACCACTGCTACACCAATAATGCGCTTCCCAGGCGGTGCAATGGTAAGGAATCTGCCTGCCAATGCAGCTGATGCAAGAGATCCGGCCGATCCCTGGGTCAGGAAAATCTCCTGGCGTAGGAAACAGCATCCCCCTCTAGTATTCTTGCCTGGAAAATTCCATGGACAGAGGAGCCTGGCAGGCTACAGTCCATGGGGTGACAAGGAATTGAACACAACTGAGCACGCACATGCACACACACAAACTAGTAACGCCATCACTTGTGCATCAAGAGCTCAACTCAGCTTGCAGCTGCTGTATCCCTGAAAGCCTCTGCCACTGCCCAGGAAGTGGTTTCCACTCCAAGCCTCCTTCCTCAAACTGCTCCTTCTGAATCAGAGTTTCATAGGGACAAGTCCTCTTGGTGGAGAAGAGATCACAGGCCTGAGCCTGACCACAAAAGAGGCTGGAAAACACCTCTGGGGTAGAGACGGGATTCAAATGGCTAGAAACTCCCCAAACTGAGCAAAAAGTGCTGAGAAGCCAGAAAAGATGAAGGGTTATGTGGGGTACTCAAGTGGAGCAATCTGGCCAACGATGACAAGGCATGTCTACAGTTGGGGAGAGTTTCGTGGGCTCAGAAGCACAGAGATGGTGCTATGGGTTGAACTGTGTCTCCCCCCAGTTTATATCCTCACCTTCCAGGTGAGGCTTCCCAGGTGGTGCCGGTGGTAAGGAACCCACCGTCCAATGCGGCAGACACAAGAGAATCGCGTATTCTTAGCTGGAGAATCCCATGGACAGAGGAACCTGTCACAAGAGAGTTGGACAGGACTGAGCACACTCGCCCATGTCCTCACCTCCAGTATCTCAGGATGTGTCCTCAGTTTGGAGACAGGGTCTTTGCAGAGGTGATCGAGTTAAAATGAGATCATGAGAGTTGGCCCTAATCCAACATGACTGGGAAATTTGGACGCACAGATTGCCATGGAAAGATAAAGGCAGCAAGCCAACAGACATCAGAAAATGCCAGCAAAACACTAGAAGCTAGGAGAGAGGGATGGAACAGATTTTTTTTCCCCCTCACAGACTTCAGAAGGAACCAACCCCACCACACCTTGATCTTGGACGTCTAGTCTCCGGAGCTGTGAGACCATAAATTTCTGTTGCTTAAGTCACCCAGTCTGCAGTATTTCCTTACAGAAACCTTAGGAAACTAACACAGATGATAAATTAAGCCAGGGAATTAGGTAATTTGCCTAGGATAGATGTGTTGATGCAAAGGGAAGTGATCTCAGAGAGACAGGAGAGAGTGGTCCTAAAGACAGACCTTAGTTCCCTGTCCAGAAACTCAACCTGGGCAGCCTGGATGAAATTAAGATCATGGCATCTGGTCCTCTCCCTTCATGGCAAATAGAGGGGGAAAAGTGGAAGCAGTGACAGATTTTATTTTCTTGGACTCCAAAATCACTGTGGATGGTGAAATTAAAAGACCCTTGAAAGGAAAGTTAATGACAAACCTAGACAGCATATTCAAAAGCAAAGTCATCACTTCGCCAACAAATGTCAGTATAGTAAAAGCTATGGTTTTTCCAGTAGTCATGTATGGATGTGAGAGATGGACCATAAAGAAGGCTGAGAGACGAAGAATTGATGCTTTCGAATTGTGGTACTGAGAGTCTCTTGGAGAGTCCCAAGGAGATCAAAGCAGTCAGTCCTAAAGGAAATCAACACTGAATATTCATTGGAAGGACTGATGCTGAAACTGAAGCTCCAATATTTTGGCTACCAGCTGAGAAGAGCCAACTCATTGGAAAAGACCCTGATGCTGGGAAAGATTGAAGGCAAAAGGAGAAGGGGGCAACAGAGGATGAGATGGTTAAATAGCATCATCAACTCAATGGGCCTGAATTTGGTTGCAAAGAGTCTGATACGACTTAGAGACTGAGCAACAACAGCCTGGATGAAAACGGGGAAACCTAACTGCTAGACCACCAAGGGTTACAGGTTAGAGCTAAAGTGGCCCTGGCTCCTGCCACCCTCCCACCCCATTTGAAAGCAAGAATGTTTCAAGAAGACAGCAACTGTAACAACAGGTGCAAAGTTTATTATCAGAGACACAGCACAAGTGGGACAGCACACAAAGAAACAAATTGTTTTTAAGACTGGAGCAAGGCAGAGAAACACAGCCAGAGAGCACCGCTGTGAGCATCATTCCTAAGGAGGAGGTGCACAGTGAGGAGGTGATGTCAATCACTTATGCAGGGCGGTCCTTCCAGGTCTTTGATTCCCTTTGGCCAATTACTTCTTTTTTCACATCTGACCCGTCCGAGGACCCTCCCCAACCCGTGTGGCGCAGAGTTTTACCAAGATGGATTCCACCACACAGGCCTGTGGGGTGGTGCCCCCTCCTACATGACCCCCAAGAAGCCTTCCTGTGCATGCGCAGACAGGAACGTTTTCCTCGACGTCAGCAGTGGGCACTTTATCTCTGCCATTAGCTTTGTCCTTGGAGCGTCTGGGGAAAAACAAAGCTTCAATTTTATTCCACTTGACAGATACCAGCTGTCCAGCCCGGAGGCCCATCCACCTCCTACCCCACTCAGGGAAGAAGAGGGAGGGTGAATACTTGGGGCTATATTGAAGGAAGGAGGTTCCTCTTCTCCATGAGAGAAAGAAGGCAAAACCGGATGCAGGTGAGATGAGGATTCCTGGGCAGTGACCTTTCAGGAAGCAGGAATATCCTCAAGAATAACCTGAAGGGAAGTAGGAAGACAGAGCAGGAAGGGAAGAACGCCACGATTGCAAAGTGCCACGAAGGGCACCCTGACGGGCTGTCCGCCTGTTCAGGGAAGCTCTCACACCCCAGAGTCACTCCAGTCATGGGGCGAGGTTGCTGGGCTGCGGGCGGTTTGTACTCCCAAACCCATCAGTCAGAGGTTAAGAGGCGCCCTTCGTGGGTGGAGGCGGGGAGGGCGGAAATTCCAGGCCACCTGTGCTTCTCTGCGCAGGGAGGGGGATTCCGGCAGCCTGAGGGCAAAGCTCCAGCAAGACTCAGAGGTGCTGGCTGTGGGCAGTGAAGGCACATGGGGGGCTGTGTGCCCCTAGACAGTGAAAGGAATCCAAGATGACATGGGCAGAGCCCCGGCAGCCTCTGCGATACAGCCGGGGGTTGGCAGACGTCTCTTCATGTCCGCCAACAGGAAAGTGAGTAGAAAGGGAGACCACGGAGAGGCCAGGATCTTGGCAGTTTTAACCAGTTTGAAGAACAGATGTGGGAGCAACTGGGTAAAATAAATAAAGAAATAAAAATTACGAAGGATGAGAGGGTGTGGTGACGATACAAGGTCCAGGGTGTGACCGTGGCAGTGGGTACTTAGGTGGAACAGAAATAAGGTCACACACAAAAAAGAAAAAACAGAAGTAAGGTCACAGGAGTTACGAAGGCCAAAGAACCACCAGGCTGCTCTCACAATGTTGCTAGTGCCTGCATCACCCACTCCTCCTCCCCTCTTCCCTCCTGGCTGAAGCCTGGGGGGCCAGGACCACTGCAACCCCTACCAGCTACAGTGAAAGATGAAATAGAGTTAGAAACCATGGTTTGGTTTGAAGACCAGAACATCAGGCACCAGCAGATAAGACTGAAGACAGAAAGACTTTATGAAACATTCACAGCAGTGACTCGACAAGTTCTTCGAAAGATATCTCACAGACAGGAACTGTTTTTTCCAGATTCAAGATCTCCAGGTAACAATTGACTGGCTTCTTGGTTCAGCCATGAGACTTGAGTATGCAGATAATGCTGAAAACTATAAGGACTTGGGACCTGATAATATAAAACATGTAGAAAGAAAGAAAGTGAAGTCACTCAGTCGCATTTGACTCTTTGCGACCCCGTGGACTGTAGCCCACCAGGCTCCTCCGTCCATGGGATTCTCCAGGCAAGAGTACTGGAGTGGGTTGCCATTTCCTTCTCCAGGGAATCTTCCCGACTGTGGGATCGAACCTGGGTCTCCCACATTGCAGGCAGACACTTTACCCTCTGAGCCACCAGGGAAACCCAAACATGTAGACACTACAACTAAAACTGCAGAGCCCTGCGTCAATTTGGATGTAAATACTCCTGCTTGGAAGGCTGGGGTATAGGCTTTGCTACCCTTCTTCAGATTCAGTGTCATGGTGACTACCTGCTAATGACTAAGATTCAGGTGATGGTTAAGGCAATTCTCACCGTGGTCCAGGAGCGCCTGACACAGGATGTAGTTGCTGGGGCAAGCCAAACAAAAGGAGGTTTGCCTGATGCTTCGGATGAGCATATTCTTGGTTTTGACACAGGAAATGCAGTTCTCTGTGAAGCTGCTCAAGTTCTGCTGCAAATAGAAGAGCTCAGAGAGCTGCAGACAAAAATGAAGGCAGCCAGAGTGGCTGTTCAGGCAATTCTTGCTGATCCAAAGACAGACCACGAAACCAGAGGATTGTGGGGAATACCAGGTTCAACTGGTCACATATTTGGAAAGAATCATTCTTAACAGACTTATCTGATGGATATAAGAGGAACTTAGAACATTCTAGAAGAAGTCAGTCTTATCCTAAATTTGTTGGGCTGTGGAGAAGGCAATGGCAATCCACTCCAGTACTCTTGCCTGGAAAATCCCATGGACGGAGGAGCCTGGTAGGCTGCAGTCCATGGGGTTGCTAAGTATCGGACATGACTGAGCAACTTCACTTTCACTTTTCACTTTCATGCATTGGAGAAGGAAATGGCGACCCACTCCAATATTCTTGCCTGGAGAATCCCCGGGACAGAGGAGCCTGGTGGGCTGCCGTCTATGGGGTCGCACAGAGTCGGACACGACTGAAGCGACTTAGCAGCAGCAGCAGCAGAAGACAGTGTCATCCAGGTACACTGACCGGTGAGAGTTCTATTTAGCCCCCACAACTCTATCAGCAGTTGAACCCAGCAGAGGGAGTGGACATGATTCAGGTTTCCAGGAATGTGTCAGCAATGGCCTGTACCGATTTGCTTCTAACAGAATCAGCCAGCACTACAGGGTAAGCCTGCAAGTTCCTGGACAAAATTGGTTTACTCAGTTCTGTAACTCCAGAACCTAACAGATGCCCACCATGCATACCAGAAAGAAGGTCTCTAAACCCTTGTTGATTGAGGGCAGGAGGAGAAGGGAAAAACAGAGGATGAGATGGTTGGATGGCATCACCAGCTCAATGGACATGAGTTTGGGTGAACTCCGGGAGTTGGTGATGGACAGGGAGGCCTGGCGTGCTGCAGTTCATGGGGTCACAAGTAATCGGACACGACTGAGCGACTGAACTGACCTGAAACTCTTGTTGATTGAATGATTACTGGTTTATACTATTTGTGATGGAATTTAGCATAGCAACAGGAAGTATTATCAAGACATTTAAGTTCAAGTTACATTTGAGTAAAGATTGAATTAGTGACTCCCCCACAAAATCCTTGATATAGAGCAAAATGAAGGCTATTTTTTTGTGTGTAGTATAAAACACCTAACAAGATTTTCTATCTTAACCATCTTTAAATGTACAGTTTAGTCATGTTAAGTATATTTACATTGCTGTGAAACAGATTTCCGGAACTTTTTCAGCTTGTAAATCTGAAACCCTATACTCACTTAACAACGCTCTCAACTTTTGCCCCGCTCACCAGCCCCTGGTACCCCACGAATCTACTTCACATATGTGAAATCATACAGTATTTATCTTTTTGTGATTGGTTTATTTCATTTAGCATAACATCCTCAACTTTCACCCATGTTGTAGCGTGTGACAAGATTTCTTTTTAAGGCTAAATAATATTCCACTTTATGTATATACTGTATTTTCTTTATCCTTTATTTTTTCCTTCTATATCTTACTCATCTGTTGACAGACATTTGGAGTGCTTTGCCTCTTGGCAATTGTGAATAATGCTGCTATATATATGGTTGTATGCATGTATCTCTTTGAGACTCTGCTTTCATTTATCTCAGATATACACACTCAGTTCTATTTTTAATTTTTTTAGGATCTTCCGTACTGTTTTCCATAGTGGTTGCAACATTGCACAATCTTGACAACAGTGCACAAGGGTTCCTATTTCACCATATCCTCACCAAACCATCTTATTTTCTGGGTTTTTAGCAGCCTTTCTAATGAACGTGAGGTGATATGTCATTGTGGTTTTGATTTGTATTTCTCTGCAACAATTATAGGATTCCCTGTATTCATTTTGGTGATCGTATTTCCAAGCCTTCTATTCCCAAAATCTAACCGATTAATTAATAATCACATAATTTCTCTTCAACAATGACTAATCCAACTTACATCAAAACAAATAATAAATATCCATAATTATAAAGGACAAACCTGGTGATTAGTGATGTTGAGCATTTTTTCATGTGCTTGCTGGCCACTTGAATGTCACCTTCAGTGAAATGTTTAGCGAAGTCTTTTGCCTATTTATTATCAGAGTATTTAGGGGCTTTTGTTTTAAGAATTCTTTATTTATTCTAGATATTAATCCTTTATCAGACATATGATTTTTAAATAATTTCTCCTATTTCATAGGTTGCTTTTTCTCTCTGTTCACTGTGTTCTTTGATGCACAAAATTTTTAGGTTTGAGGTGATCAAAATATAGACAAAATTTTAACCACAATGAAGTAGCTAAGAGATTGTGAACCTAATATATCTAATGTTGGCAAGAAAATCTTGCTTATATGGTTAGGAAGTTATTCAAGGTAAATTGAAATTTTCACTAAGATCTGTTTTTATTTGGAGTGTTGGCTTTGCAATTGACCCTGCAGCTACTCTAAGCTATATTCCTCAGAGGACTCTGTGCAACCCTGGACCTGCTTAACACAATAACACAATAAAGCTGATGTTATAAGACATGGTTCAATAAGACCAAAAAAGCAAAGAAAGAAAGAAAAACAAAAAGTAAAACATGGTATAGAAATTATCACTAAGGAAATGTTTTGAGCTGTGTAGTGTCCTAGAAACCAAGTAAGTAAAGTATGCTAGGTGCTATATGTTGTTCAGTCGCCCAGTCGTGTCCGAATCTGTGACCCCATGGACTGCAGCATGCCAGGCTTCCCTGTCCATCACCATCTCCCTGAGCTTGCTCAAACTCATGTCCATTGAGTTGGTGATGCCATCCAACCATCTTGTCCTCTGTCATCCCCTTCGAAGAGAAGGCAGGAAGACTGCCTTCAATCTTTCCCAGAATCAGGGCCTTTTCTAATGAATCAGTTCTTCACATCAGGTAGCCAAAGTATTGGAGTTTCAGCTTCAGCATCAGTCCTCCCAATGAATATTCAGGACTGATTTCCTTTAGGATGGACTGGTTGAATCTTCTTGCAGTCCAAGGGACTCTCAAGAGTCTTCTCCAACACCACAGTTCAAAATCATCAATTTGTTGCCTCTCAGCCTTCTTTACGGCCCAACTCTCACATCCATTACATGATTACTGGAAAAAACAAACCTTTGACTAGAGGGACTTTGTTGGCAAAGTAATGTTTCTGCTTTTTAATATTCTGTCTAGGTTGGTCATAGCTTTTCTTGCAGTGAGCAAGTGTCTTTTAATTTCATGGCTGCGGTCACCATCTGAAGTGATTTTGGAGCCCAAGAAAATAAAATCTGCTTCCACTTTTTCCCTTTCCATTTGCCATGAAGTGAAGGGACCATATGCCATGATCTTAGTTTTCTGAATGTTGAGCTTTAAGCCAACTTTTTCACTCTCCTCTTTCACCTTCAAGAGGCTCTTTAGTTCCTCTTTGCTATCTGCCATAAGGGTGATACCATCTGCATATCTGAGGTTATTGATATTTCCCCCGGCAATCTTGATTACAGCTTGTGCTTCATTCAGCCTGGCATTTCACATGATATACACTGCATAGAAGTTAAATAAACAGGGTGACGATACAGGGTGTCATTACAGCCTTTACGTACTGCTTTCCCAATTTTGAACCAGTCTGTTGTTTCATGTCCATTTCTAACTGTTGCTTCCTGACCAGCATAAAGTTTCTCTGCATACAGGTTTCTCCATATAGGAGGCAGGTAAGGTGGTCTGGTATTGACATCTCTTTAAGAATTTTCCAGTTTGCTGTGATCCACACAGTCAAAGGTCTTAGCATAGTCAATGAAGCAGAAGTAGATGTTTTTCTGGAATTCTCTTACTTTTTCTATGATCCAATGAATGTTGGCAATATGATCTCTGGTTCCTCTGCCTTTTCTAAATCCAGCTTGAACATCTGGAAGTTCTTGGTTCAGGATCTAATTAAAGGAAAGAAAACCAGTTTTAAGCATTTCAAACAGAAGTAATTAATAAAGGAAATGGCTACAAGAGTATTAGAAGAGATGAAGGGGCAAAAGAGGAAAGGGGTGATCTCTCAAAGATCACTAACTTCAGGAAATCATCACCACTCTGGGCTAGAGGAGCAAAAGTGTTACCTAAAACCCAGGGACACAGTATCCCTAAGGCGCCTGTTGGCTGTTGGAGCCCAGTTATCTGAGCAGGAGTCTGGGAGCCTACGCTTTCGGGTTGTTGCTTTCCTGTCCGCAGCCACCACCCAGGTTCACTGCTGCCACTGTCACTACAGCCAGAGCGGCCACCACCACCACTGTCTTCTCAGCTGTTCTGCTGTCGCTGATGCCGCGAGAAACCAGAGTCAGAAAGGTGGTCAATTCTCTCTTCCTTTCATCTTGCAGTGCCTTATGTTGGCAAAACCTAAACAGAAACCAGCTAGCTCGGGAATCTGGAAAACCCAGTTTCTCTCTCACTGATATATAGCAGAGCATAAGGACTGAAAGCAATAAACAAATGATCAGCACAGGCTACCCTCTTGGTCACAGAGCATCCCTTCCCATTCTTCTACTTCGATTTAGGTAAAAGACTCAGAGACTGAATAGAAGTTACTTACCAATGCTGCCTACATCTTTCACATGTGCTGTGTGCTCAGTCGTGTCTGACTCTTTGTGACCCCATGGGCTATAGCCCGGCAGGCCCCTCTGCCCATGGGATTCCCAGGCAAGAATAGTGGAGTTGTCATGCCCTCTGTCAGGGGATCTTCCCAAAACAGTGATCGAAACTGCATCTCCTGTGTCTCCTGCAATGCAGGCAGAATCTTTACCCACCAAGTCAGCCTTTCATAGGTCTCCAT